ATTAAATTCACTCTTTCTCAGTGATTTATTAATAAAAATCATATATTGTACCTTCATTTAACAGCTAAACAATGTTTTATCAAATAAGTAGTGTGAGTTTCTGCTTTCTCAGCAATTCAAATTAAAAGGTAATTGCCTAAAGGAACATTTTTGGAGAAAGAAAGCAAAAACCATTTCAGGGCCTTGTATAATTACTTCAACATCTAGTATATGTGATTCTTTAACCATATTAACTTACTGAATAGGTGGTTGCTATATACAACATACCTCCATGGCAAGTGATTTTCCTAGGAGAAGGGTACATAGGACAAAATGTCCTTTCTTTACAAAAGGTTGAATCCTTTCTGCAGATAAAGTTAGATATTATTAATGCCAATTCTTAGAATAACTAGTCTATAGACTGTGGGTGGCTCTTTTTAAATAGATATTGAACCTAATTCAACCAACTTATAAGATATGAGTTTTCTTCTACTTATTCTACTTATATATTCTTATAGAACTTAGATTTTTTCCAATACCAATTGAGTTTAATGGTCATCCATATGAAGAGCAATCATCATATATATCGTTGGTATGACTCAACTTTTTACTTATTTTTTACAAAAGTAAACAACTTGTCAAAAATGATGGCTTGTGATTGGATGATATGTAAAACTACTTTACAGTATCATTACTTACAGCACCTATTTTCTCATACCAACTATGCTGTATAGCTTAAAAAGTGCAGACTGTATTGACATATAGATTGTAAACCTGCATGCTTTCTGTCTTTTGGAAGACCAGCCTTAATGAGGACCTCAAGATCAACTTGGCTGAAGGACAGTAGTCCTAGAGCTAGACCTGATGCAATGCCTGCCAGTGACACAAGCACCAGACATATAATCAGAAACAACCAGAAACTAAACTCACAACAAGGGTGTTCATCTTCTCCGAATATCATGGTGTGATTGGATAGATGAAGTGTACCAATGTTGGGGAGTGCGTTCAAAATGTATCCATATTTATTGGGTGGCTTGATTTTTCAAGAGAACTGGTCATGAGTGCTTCTTGTGTACAGACATCATGACAATGAGGAAGAAGATAGAAGATAGATACAAATAGCATTCGGCTCAAGCGGCCAGTATCTAAAACCTTAAAGATTCTATGAATATGTTGATTATAAGAAAAGAACAGCATTTCAAATGGAATATAGAAATGTCACTCTTGAAATATAAAATATATTTAAAAAATGGGTTGAATAAGTTTTTGATTCCTACAAAATTTTAGTTTGTTTTTTTAATTACCCATTTTAGTTTCTCCTTTATTTTTAGGCATTGTCTAGATATGATTTCTTGTGAGGCTGTATTTTTATTCTTTGGATATCTCCAAGGACCAATATTAATGACTACAAATAAACGATGAACTTAAAAATGAATATATTTTTTTTTAATAAAGACTAACAAAATAAAGACACTTTATGCCTCGTAAATATTGTACATGAAAGTTACTAAATTGTAAAAAAAAATTGTTTTAAACAAATAATAGTTTTTTATTTAAATGAACAAAATAAAATTATTGAATTATTCTACTCTAAAAAAATGAGTGATTACCAAAATAAATAAAAGATAAAAATATATTTTAACTATGTACACAAAAGTATTGAATTATTTTTATATATTGATATAGATTAAAACTATAAATCTAAAATTTTAATGGAACCAAAATTTATTTAATCTTAAAAAATTATTCTATTAACACCTTCCCTTAAAAGAATTATTTTAAGTATTAAAAAAGTAGAGTTTTTGTTAATAATATGTATTTTTTTGTGTGTTTTCGATGTATTAAATGTCTTTTTTTTAATTTTTTTCTTAAAGTAAATTATAAAGATTGATTAACAAAACCACTAAAGAAAGTTATCTGCAAATGAAAATTATATTTTGATTGCAGGAATGGTTTTTTTTTTTTTTTTTATGAACTATACAATGCAAACAACAAAAATTGATTTGATTGCCAGAATGATTTTTTTTTTTTTTTTGGGTGAAAGATGTAAACAGAAAAAAGTTTAGAGCCTACAAGCTAAATGATGGTGGAGATATCCAGACTTGAATGAGACAAAAAGTTAGAGGCTGAAAAAAACATTCCAGATACAACTAATGATGTCATGTAAATGTTGAATGCTTAAACAAAAATTTAGTTAAGCAATTTTTTTTTTTTGCCAGCACCACAAATCCTTTGACTCAGCACTCTAGCTATTTGACTATTTGTCGTATAATAAGTTTTAATTCCCTGGAGTTAATTCCCCAGAAAAATTAAAATAATGATAAGAGTATGTATGGGAAATATTATTTTCCAA